AGAGTGAGATCTAGTATACAGTATTTCCAAAGTGATTTCATCATGAAATTTCCTCCTGCCCTATGAAGAAGATACAGGACCTTGGGACTCTAAGAAATACACTTTGGAAATGCTATTAAAAATAATACTGACTATATATATATAAAACAAGTATTAACAGCAGCCTCAAAAGGATAGACACATGCTCTTCCATTTAGTTTAATGTTATCTATCTTTCTGATTTCAGGGGAGCCTTCCTTAACCCTCCAAATGTAATCAAGACTTCCTGCTACTGGCCAGGCACAGTGACTCACACACACCTGTAATCTCAGCACTTCGGGAGGCCAAGGTGGGCAGATCACCTGAGGTCAGGAGTTTGACACCAGCCTGACCGACATGATGAAACCCTGTCTCTACTAAAAATACAACAATGAGCCGAGGGTGGTGGCATGCACCTGTAATCCCAGCTACTCAAGAGGCTGAGGCAGGAGAATCGCTTGAATCCGGGAGGTGGAAGTTGCAGTGAGCCGAGATCGCACCACTCCTGAATGACAGTGAGATTCCATCTCAGAAAAAGTGAGGAGTTCAAACCTACCCTGGCCAACATGGTGAAACCCCATCTCTACTAAAAATACAAGAAATTAGCTGGGTGTGGTGATAGGCACCTGTAAGCCTAGCTACTTGGGAGGCTGAGGCAGGAAAACTGCTTGAACTCGGGAGGCGGAGATTGCAGTGAGTTGAGATCACACCACTGCACTCTAGCCTGGATGACAGAGCAAAACTCCATCCTGTGACTGTATATTTTGCTTGACCCTATACTTCCAATGTCTAGCACAATGTTTAATGTAAGATAACACATGTAGGCATAAAGACATGAATACCAGAATTTCACTGAAGCCTTTTTGGCATAGTGCAAAACTGAAAACTCAAATGTTTATTAATAGGAAAGTAGTTAAATAAGCTAATCCACATTTGTGCTGCATAATATTACACAGTCATTTTAAAAAAGGAGCTTAATCTTCATGTTATGACATGTCTGCTTTACTGAATAAGAAGGGAAAAAACGCATTTTATTACATAAAAAGGTATTTTATTACATATATACAGATGTCCAGAAATGTACACATCAAAGTGTTAACAGTTACTACCTTCAATTAGGACTAAAACTGGGAACAGAGACTTTTACTTTTATATACTACCTTATATACCTCTCTATTGTTTCAATACTCTTCAACAAGTATGCATTTCTTTTCTAATTAATTTTCTTAGCCTATGACCAACTGCAGGTCCACATAAATTATTACAGGCTTTATTCTTCGTTCATATTTTTATCCCTATTTCTTAAAAATATTTTTGTAGGGGCCAGGCGAGGTGGCTCACACCTGTAATCCAAGCACTTTGGAGGCCAAGGTGGGCGGATCACCTGAGGTCGGGAGTTCAAGACCAGCCTGACCAACACGGTAAAATCCGGTCTTTAAAAAAATTTAAAAAAAAAAAAAAACTGTAGCTGGGCATGGTGGCTCACGCCTGTAATCCCAGCAATTTGGGAGGCCAAGGTGGGTGGATTGCTTGAGGTCAGGAGTTGGAGACCAGCCTGGCCAACACAGTGAAACTCCATCTATACTAAAAATACAAAAATTAGCCGTGCGTGGTGGTGTGCTCCTGTAGTCCCAGGTACTCAGGAGACTGAGATAGGAGAATTGCTTGAACCCGGGAGGCGGAGGTTGCAGAGAGCCAAGATCACGCCACAGCACTTCTAGCCTGGGCGACAGAGTGAGATTCTGTCTCAAAAACAAACAAAATTTTTGTAATGATCCCTGTAGCAATACTGAGAGGAAAGTAAGATAAGAGATAGTACTAACACAGTTATCATAGATTAAAGCTATAGGTAAATTGCCTGACATCACCAAGCAAAACAAACAACAGAACTGGGGCTAAGGAATGGCTTTTTTCTCTTAGTCCAATGCTCTTCTCATTGCACATCACTGCCTCTCCAGTAAGGGAAAAGAAGGCTGCCTTGATCCGCTCAACATGTTAGTACTAGAAGACTAGAAAAGACTTAAACCTGTTCCCACTGCTGACCCTCTCAATCCCCATAAGTCATTTGAAGGTACTGCTGACCAACGGCCATTGGGACCTCTTTTAAATAACCCCAGTGAAGGGAAGGTTACAAATCTTGGCATAAGCCCCTCTGCTGTTAGACAATTCCCTCATATTAAGCTGAAACCTATTTTTGTTACTTTAATTCCCTGGTCCATGTTTGGCCTTTTGGAATGGCACAAAACTTAAATATACTCTCCTTTTCTAGAATATATTCAAGTATATGAAGAAAGCTATCATCTGTGTTCTTTGGAGAATGAGTGCTTTACCTATATAAACTTCCAATAAAACAACTGTAATTATCCAGCTTCTAACTGTGGTGAAGTCCTAACAAACTGCTTGGCAGAGGAGGAGAAGGAAAACTATCATGTAGGACCCCTACTGAATCATAACGCATTTAATACAAGTAGTTAATTGTTACTACAATCCTTTAAGCATGGGTGTCCAATCTTTTGGCTTCCCTGGGCCACACTGGAAGAAAAATTGTCTTGGATCACACATAAAATACACTAACACTAATGACAACTGATGAGCTAAAAACAAAAAAACAAAAAAAACTCATAATGTTTTAAGAAAGTTTGTGTTGGGTTGCATTCAAAGCCGCCCTGTGCCATGCGTTGGACAAGCTTGCTTTAAGGGGAGTTACAGAGAACCACACATTTCATATCACTCTTTTGCTAGATGTCACCAAATCAAATCGCTTTCCAGTGTAAAAAACAGGCACGAAGTTGGGGTAAGATGCTTCTGACAAAGTCTCGGCTTTAGACAGCTACTCATAGCAGATGCAAGAATCTGCTTTGATCACAGCCAATATTAGTTGTACATTACACAGATGAACAATCAACCTAATGGTTTTTCTTCAGTAAAATATTTTGTGTTGTTTTTGTCAGAACCTTCAATAACAAAGTAGCCTGGTGGTCTCCTGATTAACAAATGAGACATTTTCATGACTTAAAAGAGGGAAAGGAGGCCGGGAGCGGTGGCTCAAGCCTGTAATCTCAACACTTGGGAGGCCGAGGTGGGTGGTTCACGAGGTCAAGAGATCGAGACCATCCTGGTCAACATGGTGAAACCCCGTCTCTACTAAAGATACAAAAAATTAGCTGGGCATGGTGGCACGTGCCTGTAATCCCAGCTACTCAGGAGGCTGAGGCAGGAGAATTGCCTGAACCCAGGAGGCGGAGGTTGCGGTGAGCCGAGATCGCGCCATTGCACTCCAGTCTGGGTAACAAGAGCGAAACTCCGTCTCAAAAAACAAAACAAAACAAAACAAAACAATAAAATATTATTCCTTTTTCTCCCTTACTGATCTGTGTTGCCTTTCACCAACATTTATCATAATTTGTATTTATTTACCATTCTGCTTACTTTTTGCTCATATCATCTAGAAACTACAACCTCCATGAAGGCAGAGTCAACTCTTTTGAACACAGTATACCTATAAACACACATGGAAGGTGCTTATTAAATGTTTATAGAATAAGCAAAGACAGAAATTGGAAAGGAAAAGAAAGACCACAGGTTACCAAAAACAGATTACTTTGCTTTCTTAATCAGTGTTGGGAAATTAATCACTTATTGAACACTTATTATGACCCAGTCCATTTATGCATAATTATATAATTTAGCCTCACAACAATCCTGACAACTTTGTCATTTGAGACCAAAGGTTCAGAAAAATTAAATATTACATAACTCTCTTAAGCCGCACACCTAGTAAATTTGAGCTCCATAACTTACGTGAATATTAACTAGGTTTATCTGAGTGATGCTGGCCCCTAATATGCCCTTGTCGTCAATGATTTCCTCTCTATACAGCTATGGGAACAGGGAGAGCGATTCACAGCAAACAGCAAACTAGTAGGTTTTTTTTTTTTTTTTTTTTTTGAGACGGAGTCTCGTTCTGTTGCCCGGTAGTGCAGTGAAGCAATCTCGGTTCACTGCAACCTCTGCCTCCCGGGTTCAAGCAATTCTCCTGCCTCAGCCTCCTGAGTAGCTGAGATTACAGGCGCCAACCACCACGCCCAGCTAATTTTTCTATTTTTAGTACGTTCCGGGCTTCGCCATGTTGGCCAGGTTGTCCTCGAACTCCTGACTTCGGGTGATCTGCCCACCTCGGCCTCCCAAAGTGCTGGGATTTCAGGCGCCCGCCACCACACCCGGCTAATTTTTGTATTTTTAGTAGAGACAGAGTTTCACCATGTTGGCCAGGTTGGTCTTGAACTCAGGTGAGCCACCAGCCTCAGCCTCCCAAAGTGCTGAGATTACAGCACTTAGAGCCACAGCGCCAGGCCTGTCAATTAGTAGTTATATACAACCCAAGTCCTCTGGCCATCTAGACAGTCTGAATTTTTTCCAGCTTACTGAAGTCCTGCTAAACAGCAAAACAAGTATTTTTACATTAACCAAATATTTTTATCTTTAAAACAATTGTTACAAACCAGAAATTTCCCACTATACTGGTGCGTACAGCCTAAGACCGCTTAATCATTCACATTTCCCCTACAAACCTGTGGGCTTGGGGTTTTCGCAACAAAAAAGGAAAAAAAGTGGCGTCATAAACTTGTAAAATTTGAAAGAAACACTCATGCCACAATCCTCCTTTCCCTCTGCTAATGTGATCCAGATGGGAACGATGAACGACATAACTGTCCCATTTGCACCTCAGGTTTGATTAGGGTCCTGTTCACTCTATGCAATTACTTAAGAGTGCTGACCATCAAATATTTACCAGGAGACAACATGTCCAGGTCAAATAAAGGGCGTGAGAATAACATTTTAGAAAGAGTGGCACCACAGCCAAGACTAACTCTAGGCTGCCGTCCTCACTCGCCCAATCGACTTGTCTCATATCCTCTCTCCCCTCTCCAGTGAACCATTCCTTCCTGGAGTCAGAGACCGTGCAACAGGGAGGTTCCTACCTTGGTCTGCACACTCTTATCGAACTTGTCATTTTTGAAGCTAAACGTATTCTGGTGCTTCTGGGGCCTGGAACGAACCACGTTGCCTTTCTGGGAGCTCATTTCCGAAACCAAAACCACTCCTCGCCGGGAGCAGGCAAAAGGATGAAGGGAAAGCCAACGAATTGCTTCCAGAATGGACGCTTCTATCAATGACCCGGAAGAAACTTAGACTGCCTTTCCGCCCCTGCTCGCGGTCAACCCACGTGACTTTTCTGGGAGGTCAAAGAGCGTCGCGAGGCCCTCCCGGCTGTTAGGCCAGGCCACTCCACGAGGCGCAGCCTTGACCCCTCCCGCTGCGCGCGGCTTCTTTCTCAAACCCGGGGAAATAAGTCCCGCTTTCTTCGAAATGAGAATTCCCCCATTGGCCCGAATGTGATAGTCCATCAAGGCAAAGGGGCGGGGAATGTTTGCTCTTATTGGTTCTTCTTTTCCGCAATCCCCGCCTCCTGCCGAGTGAGCTCTGCCTCTCCTGGAGCCCAGAGCGCCTCCGACTGTGCTGGGCGGCCTGTGATTGGTGGAAGTGGGCCGAGGCTAGGCTGCGTCCCTCCCCCCGCCCGCTCGCTTGCTGGAGCCGGGGTCAGCTTTGGCACCTTCCTCCAGTCAGTGGCCAACTCCTGGCTCAGCGAGGATTCTGCTAGTGCCCTCGGTTCCTCTCTACTCTCCCTCCCGCTACCGAAACAAGTCCCGCGCCTGGCAGGCTGAGGAGAAGCAAATAAAGCAGGTTTAAAGAGAAAAAAGACCTGGCCGGGTCTGGGTGGCGTCTGCGGTGCCAGAAAGGGAGGCGGCGGCTGCGACCACGGCCGCGCGGGACGTGAGGCCCGAGAGCAGCCGACGGCAGCCGCGGCAGCTCCAGCGCCCTGCACCGGGGCTGTTAGTCAGCAGAACGCGAGCTCGTGTGGAGGAGCAGGGCCGGCGGGAGGCGAAACCCGGGAGCGCGAGCCGGGCCCCTCGGGCGCCACCGTCTTTCTTCGTCCCGGCGCCGGGGGCTGCAGCCTTGGTCCGCGCTCCTCTGCCGGGCCCGTCTTCAGGCGGAGAGAGTCCGACAGCGTCCGGAGCGCGGGTCTTGCCTTGCGGAGGACAGCGCGTCGGCTGCGGTTCTCTCCCAACTCCTGCCCGGCGCCTCGGCCCGGGCCGCTCAGGTGCAGGTGCGTGCCGCCTCGGGGCTTGGGGACGTCGCGGCGGGGCTCGGGGAAGGGGCGCTAGGCCGGGAGCCGCAGCGCGGGAGGGACCAGCCCGGGCCGGCGGGGGGAGGGGAGCGGGAAGCGTCTTTGTTGTTGGCGACCGGGATCCCTCTCGGCGCAGGGGAAAGGCGGGGAAGCCGGTCCGGATCAGGTCTGTGTTTTTGAGAGGGTTCTCTGGTGGTTCCGTGAAGGGGAGCAGTCCGGACAGTCCCTGCGGTCCGTGGAGCGGCCGGAGTCGGGGGGCAGGGGAGGGAGGACCGACCGACGCGCTAAGAAGATCTTTGGTCCTCGCAGAGGAGAAGGGTTCCATTTCATTTCCTTTGCTTTTCTCCCAGTGGATGGAAAGATGGGGTCAGGTTCCCATTCCCCTCCCTGGCGCACCAAGAGATTCGCGAGTGCCTTAAAGCTTTTCTCCTGAATGTCCTTATCTCTGTGAGGCGCGATTTTAGATTGAATCTGCAGCGGGCTTGGTGATTCGTGTATGCCGGTGGGGCTGTCGTAGGGTTTTTTTTCTTTAGATGATTGGACCTCAGTGTTACCTGTTTTCGAACTCTAAGTTACGCTCGTCAGGAATCGTTTTTTAGTGGAAAATGTAAAGGTTTGGGTTTTTTTTTTTTTTTTTTTTTTTTTTAACTTCTGAAACAAAGTTATGCCAAATTAGATTGTACTGTGTTGGGGGGGGCGGGCTTTGGTAAAGGAAAGAATGTGCTTAACCTGGGCTTTTTTTTTTTTTTTTGAAAAAAGTTCAGGTCTTTGATTCTTGGTGAGATTTCTGCCAATACCAGAAGAGAATTTGTTGTAAATGGTGCTTTAGTGTGAGGTAGATTTGGTAAGCAAAAGGATGAATAACGGAATACAGAGGGTGACCTTTAAATTTCGCTGTTTATGAAAGGTGTTCCTGTTTAATACTTTTTGTGATATGTGATGCTTGATCCATAGATGATTCATTGGAATTTTTTTATGCCTCCAATAAATCTTTGGAGTTGTTGTGCCAACATATGAGACTATATTACCTAATGAGTCGGAGTAGAAAGTCAGATATATGTAATAACGTTATTCTGTTTAGATTGACAGGGAAATTTACATTTAAATGGACATTTTTCCATAAAGAGCTTCTCTACTCTCGGTGACATTAATGATAACCAGTATTTTGAAAATTGTCATGATTGCTAGTATTTTAATTTGAAACTGCCCAACTTGTTGGTAGGTTTTTATTTTGAGAATAGGGGTCGTGTCATTACTTAAGGAATACAGAGGTAAAAATCTCTGTTGTGCAGTAATTGTCATATCATTTGAAATCCAGGAGGAAATGAATGGCATCTTCACCTATATTTTGACCTCTCTTTTCTCATACTCTAGTATTAATAAGGTTAATTGGCAAGGACAGGATTAGATTTTTAGCAGGCTAGGCAGTTTTAATTTTGTCCCTTGGTGTGCAGTACTCTAGTTGATGAGTAGCTTGTTTCCTTGAGTATCTTTGCCCATTTTGAAATGTTTATCAAATGGCTGCTGACAAAGAAATTTGTTTCCTGGGACAAACAAAATCACCATAAAACATCACGGCAAAATAAAGTTTTTTAGTAGATTAATGAACACAGAAGAATTAAGCAATTAGTGGCTGTTCCAAGTTTGACCCTGAATTAGTCTACAACTCTACACAGGCTAGCTATCCACATCTGTGTCGGTTTCTCCATCTGTAATATAGGGCTAATAAAATGTGCCACCTGCTCACTTTATAAAAAGGGCAGTGAGAACCATATAAGCAACAGTTAATCTGTTTATGTGACGTTGATTTCTTTAAGTTAAATGAGAATACTTTATAATGCGGTGCTCTTATTTTAATACTGTGAATTTCAGTCCTTTGATGAATAGTTAGGATAAAGAAACAGTTTTAATAGGGAGAATGACTGTTCCTATGCCATCATTTAAGGCTCACACTTGTATCCCAACTTTGGGAGGCCGAGATGGGCGGATCACCTGAGGTCAGGAGTTTGATACCAGCCTGGCCAACATGGAGAAACCCTGTCTCTACTAAAAATACAAAAATTAACTGGGTGTGGTGATGCATTCCTGTAATCTCAGCTACTCGGGGGGCTGAGGCAGGAGAAACACTTGAACCCCGGAGGCAGAGGTTGGAGTGAGCCAAGATTACGCCATTGCATTCCAGTCTGGGTAACAGGAGAGAAACTCGGTCTCAGAAAAAGAGAATTAAAATTTCTTGCATATTAAAATTGGAGTTAAGATCTTTAGATAAAGTGATGACAAGAAAATAGAGTATATTTTATTGGTTGGTTTACTTACTGGTAGATTTTACTTCTAATTTATCCAAAGTTTTGCTCTTAATTCTGAGAGTTACTCCTACCCTTCCTACCCTGTTTAAAATTTCTCACATATATTGCCCTATTTGCCCATCGAATCCAGCCTGTGAGTTGGAGAGAGAAAGTGAGTTGGTGGCTTTGTTTTGTTTTGTTTTGTTTTTGAGATGAAGTTTTTGCTCTAATTTTTGTAGTTTTAGTAGAGATGGGGTTTCACCACGTTGGCCAGGCTGGTCTCGAACTTTTGACCTCCGGTGATCCGCCTACCTCAGACTCCTGAAGTCCTGGGAATACAGGCAGGAGCCACTGCACCCAGCGTTTGTGACGTTTTTACAGATGAAATAAATAAAACCCAGATAAGTTAATTATTTGAATTGCCTAAAGCTAAGCAATTAGTAACAAGTAGAATTGAGACTTGAACCTGGGTTTTCTAACTTGTAGTCCTGTATCCTTTGCTTTGGAGCAGTGTTTTCCAGATACCTGTCCATGCCTAAGAGTTTTGTCCAAGTCAAATGAGAACTAATGTAGCAATATAAATGTTGGTGCCATACAATGTAATGAATATCTTTGTACCCATCACCCAGTTGAATAAATAAAACTAACAATTAGGATGAAGTGTCCTTGGTATCTTGTACCTCCCTTAAATCCTATTCCCTTTTCCCCCAACGTGTAACCAGTGACCCAGAGTTGACACGCATCTTTTCTATATCCATGTGTTTGTACTTAACTACATACCATTATCTCATGAACATTATATATATATATATATATATATATATATATATATATATATAGTTTTGTGGCTTTTTGTCTTAAGATTATTTAAATACAAATATCTTTAGCTTGCTTTCTTCACACAAGTTGGCCAAGATTTATCTATGTTTATTTAGGTTGCTCTAGTTTATTTTTATTTACTTTTACTGTTAGGTGGTATGTGCTCTGTTATGTAACAATGTCAGGTTTCAGTTGATGGTCATTTCGGTTGTTTCTACTTGTTTGCTATTAAACAGTACTATAAGGAATATTTTTGTGTATGTTAGGTACCTGTTGTGTAGAACTTTTAGGGCAGTGGTTCTTGACCTACCTATATCCTGTGTTCATAGAAAATATTTTACAATTCCAACAAAACTATCCTGAAATGAACTTCATAATAATAAGTCCATATTCATATTTTAAAGAAAGCAATGCCCTTAATAAAATATAAAACTAATTTGTAATAAAGTGATATGTGTTTCACGTTGTAAATGCTTGAGCTCAAGACTGTGTTCAAGGTTAGCTACCAAGTGTAATGGTGGACCAGCAACATTAGAATCACTTGGAAGCTTGTTGGAAATGTAGAGCCTCAGGCTTTATCCTGCTGATGCAGATGCAGGGTTTTTTGTTTCTGTTTTTGTTTTTTTTGCCTGCTTGTTTGTTTTGTTTACAATGTAAGAGGTAGAATCTCTGGAGCCATACAGCACTGTAACCTGAAACTTCTGGGTTCAAGGGATCCTCCCACCTCAGCCTCCTGAGTATCTGGGACTACAGGTATGCACCATCATGCCTGGCTAATTTAAATTTTTTTTTTTTTTTTTTACGGAGACAGGGTCTTCCTATATTGCCCAGGCTGATCTTGAACTCCTGACCACAAGTGATCCTCCCTCTTCAGTATCCCAAATCACTAGGACATTGGGATTGCAGACATGAGCCAGTGTACCCAGCCAGATGCTGTATTTTATCAAGATTCCAACTGATGTATGTAGGCATTAAAATATAAGAAGCACTGCTAAAAGAAGTAGTGATAATTCGACACTTTGTACCAGTGGGTGGTGACTCTGTCAATACAACAGCTACAGATTAAAACAGGTATATTGAGTTAGCTATTCAAATACCAATGCTGAGACTGTGGGAAATGATTTTCTGAAATAAACTATTCTCAGTAAAGTTGAAACAGAAATAAAAGTTGCTGTCTTAACCTGTTTACACAATGGTTGCATTCATAACAAGTCTTCATCTATGTTAAAACTATACAAATAAACTTGGTATTAAATCCTATTTAGAAGTATCTGACATTAGTGGTTTTTTTCCCTCTTTCTGTTCCCCTCTATGAATGTCCAGCAGAATATTTAAGTCATAGGGCACGAAGCAGCATTATTTATTTATTTAGATCTATTCTCACTCTGTTGCCCAGGCTGTAGTGTAGTGGCAGGATTCTGCTCACTGAAGCCTCCACATCTGGCTAGTTTTTGTATTTTTTTTTTATAGAGGGCATTTCACCATGTTGGCCAGGCTGGTCTTGAACTCCTGAGCTCAAATGATCTACCCACTTGTCCCCCTCAGAGTGCTGGGATTACGGGTGTGAGCCACTGTGCCCCATCTGAGCAGCACTTTATGCAAGAAGAGTGGAACATCTTCAACTTCATTAGATAACTATCAGTTTTCTCTACAAAGTCTATAATGTATGAGAGAAGGTCTGTTTGTCTGCATTCCAGATATTTTAGAAGGTAGATAATAGTAATATTTTGTTAATTTTTGCCATTAGGAGTATGAAGTGGTACCTCATTGTAGTTTTTATTTGCATCTTTTTAAAATGTATTCTTTATAATACTTGGTAGGCATTAAAAATATCTTCTTCCAGTCCTCAGCATACATTTTCACTTTAAATTGTAT